GGGATAACTCTGGGTTGAAACAAAAAATTATGTAAACTTTTACTATTATCCATTGGTATGCAATAACTTTGAATAAAACTGGTGAAACAGAGTTCAAGAAATGGTATAACAAAAGCATGTGTGATAGTCATAACAAGATTTAATGAAAAGACACCTGGCCTACATAGGTCTACATAGATTGTATCAATAAGCTCTAAGACCAAGTGATATCAGTTGATATTATTCTGAAAGTATAGTAAATAGTATGCACTGAGACATAATAGGTCATGCAATCAACTAGTAAAGGAAATAAACAAGGTCACATATGGACCAACTATTTTAAAACTTACTTCAGCATTTTTTTTCTATGTTCTTGTTTTCTGATATTTTCTTTGACTTGTTCTCGTTCAATATCCATGAACAGTCTTCTGTACATTGAAAACTGACTTCTTGTCTACCAACACATTTGAAAAATAGTAATTGTACTAAAGAACAGCAAATTTTGAATTTCTTGCATGGTGTGTTACACAATCCATGAGTGACACAAATTTTACTTCATAAGTTATTGTCAGTGGCATTCAGTTACAGTAAAAGAATTAATTTATCACTGGGTTTTAATTTTGCTTTGCGTTAAATCAAAACCCAGTGAATATGTAAAATTTAGCATAGAACACATTATCTAAATGATAAAACCGTGAATTTAAAACCCACTGAAATGCCTGAAATAGTAAATCAGTAAAATTTAAACCTAGTGAAAATTAGTCATTTTACAGTACAAGGGTGGCAATTTTCCAAACATGCTGTTTATATTAGAAGTACATGTGCTTACAGTAACTTAGTGTCTTGTTCAATAAGATACTGGATTGTTTGAGTTATGAACATTGAGTTACGAACATTGAGTTACGAATATTGAGTTACGAACATTGAGTTACGAATATTGAGTTACGAACATTGAGTTACGAACATTAAGTTACGAACATTGAGTTACGAACATTGAGTTACGAACATTGAGTTACGAATATTGAGTTACGAACATTGAGTTACGAACATTGAGTTACGAACATTGAGTTACGAACATTGAGTTACGAATATTGAGTTACGAACATTGAGTTACGAACATTGAGTTACGAACATTGATTTACAAAAACATCAACTTACAAAAATGACCATGCTCATACTTTGGCAACTCCATGCCCAAATTATAACTTGATGTTCAATTAACAGTTTTGAGTTACAGGCAACGTAGATAATTTTTGTTGTTTAACGTTCACATTTAGTAACTCAAACTTTAATTAATTTAATTATATGAACCGAATATTGAGATATGGGCAACCTAGATTTGTTTTGTTGTTTAAACATCGACATACTGAAATTTATTTTACCATATGGTAAGCTTGTATGTTTCACCTTCATTTGCTGAATGCATTAGTTTTTTACTGGATGTGGATGTTAAACAAACAAAAAATCTATAGTGGCTGTAATTCAAATTTTTGTGAACTATTAAATAAAATTTGAGTAATGTGGATGTTAAACAAAAAACAAGATAGTGGTTGATGTGAACCCAGATCTTCCACACACAAGTGTTATTTTCTATGACAGACTTAGCATTGTCTCTTTTGAGAATATCAATAATAATGACATGATATAATGAATAAACTAATTAATAAACTAACCTGTCGTTTATTCTCCTCTGCAAGGACACCAGGCATAACTTCAGGCACTGATGCATGTGTACACAGACGATGAGTTTTTCTCCTTCGTAACTTTGGCAACACTTCATCTGGTTCATTCGATGATGCAAAAGTCACCACCTTTGGTTGTCCCAGTGACCAAGCAGACTCTTTTTGTTCTCCATCACCACCAAATTGATGCGGGTGCCCTAATGATGGACTGAAAGTCACGACTTTGGGAGGAGGAGCGCCTGCTAGTTGAAACACTTCTTCTTGGTCATGTGATTGTTGTTGCCTAGCAATAGCTTCATCATCATCTGTTATCAATGACTGATCTAATTCTTGTTGCGGTATTTCTTCATCACTTTCAACGCTACCAGCTTCTATAGCTTCATTTGTATCAAGTACCTCATCATGGTCAGCTGATAAAGGTAACTAGCATGAAAAAAACAAAGCAGCGTTGTCATTCAATCAGTTATCAAAATACATTAACTTAACTATCCACAATAAATAATTTCGTAACTTGACTTACGTCTCGCGTTGAAGCAACTTTCCAGGCACCACCAGGCAAATGCTTCTATAAAATAATACAATAATTAGTTACTAAAATCATTCCACAATAATGTATTATGTCATTAGATTTGTAATGAATATTTTTGGGATAAATGACTGATCTAGACATTGAATGTTGATTCTCTCAATGTAGTTGTGAGTACTAAGGCCAAGATAAAGAGAACAAAAATGCTTATGGTCAATTTAAAAAAAAAAATATTTTGTACATGTTTATTTTTCTTTTGAAATAAAAATGTTTTTCCTTATAAAGTGGTTTCTTTTTAAAATACTTGTGTACATTTTAACATGAAGACACGATGAACAGAAATGTTTTTTTATTTTTGCTGGGCCTAGCCACTATATATATTGCTACCGAATTTTTGCAACATAATACATTTACCAATTTATCTGAAAAATCACCCGCAATGTTTTGGATAATGGCTCATATTTTGGAAGATCACCATACCAAAACGGTGATCTTTCACATTGGGCAATGTTTAAGATAAATACGGTAAATACAAACTGCAAGGCAACGATTTTTAAAATAGCGCCATCTGTGGTGAATATTGAATAAAAATTCATATTTTACTCCATTATATAACCGTGACTAACCCAATAATTCCTTGTGATGCTCATTGTATTTTCTTGAAATTTTTACTTAGCAATTATCATGTTGTAAAAACCAAATAACATACCCTATCTAGTACAAGCCTCTTTGATGCTAAATTCTTTCGAGCATGACTAATAGCTTTGTGAACTTGATTTAAGTGTTCTTCAAAAACCCTCCCATCATCAGTATCATCAGCTGATTCACTGGATGCAGTTGCCATGGATACAGAAGGATGGATGGAGAGTTGCTGCTCATCTCTGTAGACGCATGTATTCTTCTTTGGCGTCAAACGTTCGGCAGCGTGGCTACTCTGCATTACAATACTTCTTTCCATTTCAACCTGTCAAAAATTAAACAGTTTTCTTGTTATTTTACCTCCAGTTAAAATTGGCAGTAATGACTGCGATTTGTCAGGTAATTCTGAACGTTGAAAACTCTACACGAATCTTTGTCAAATGCTGGAAAACCCCTATTGGGCATTAATGTCACACACTGTTGCATACGACTTATTTACCACTTCCGTGTCCCTGAGAATGTTCTAGAACTGTACTGTGTCTGGGTGGAATATTCTAGATAATATAACACTGTAGGAGGCAATAGAAGGTAATGGAACATTCTAGAATTTGTAGTAAGTTCCAGACTCATTATGTATGCTGATGTAATGATCTATTTATAGACAGTGGGGGTATATATAGGGGAGTTGTTCAGATCGGAGATCACGTTGAATTGTATTGGAGTTTAAGTATCTAGTTATTGGAGTAGTGGAGTTTTACCGCGTTATTGTACTTGATGTTTGCAGAGTATAATAATACCAGTACCAGTTGAAACCTCATCTGTTGGCTCCGTGTTCGTATGTTATCATCGCCGCAAGGGAAGTCTTTCTGTTACTGTTGCCATTTTTGGTATTTGAACCATCACACCTGTACTATACCAATTACGGTAATATTACGTTGCGTGTGACATCTGGGGGCTCGTCCGGGTGCAGTGAAGACATATAGAAGACAACAACAATAGAAGTAGAGGTGAGGAAAATGGAGATTGAGGAAAGAAAGGAAAAGTTACAACTGGAAGCGGAAGCAGAACAGCGAGAAAAGGAAAGGGAAGCAGAGGTGAGGAAAATGGAGATTGAGGAAAGAAAGGAAAAGTTACAGCTGGAAGCGGAAGCAGGCAAAAGAGAATTTGAGTTGAGGAAATTAGAGCTGCAAGCAGCAATGCCGGGGTTCCAACAGGCTGATTTTGGTGGTCAACGAAATGTGGTCAGCGATGCACAGTCACCAAAGTTGCCTGCATTTGTTGATGGTAACGATGAACTTGATAGTTATTTATTGTGGCTTGAGAGGTTTGCAACGAATGTGAGTTGGCATAGAGATGGATGGGCCACAAAATTGAGTGCGCTGTTGACTGGTAGAGCACTGGAAGTATATTCTAGAATGTTCGACACTGATGCAGTTGACTATGATCGTGTGAAGGTGGCGCTGTTGACAAGATACGATTTCACAGAGGATGGGTACAGGAAGTGATTCCGTGAAATTAAACCTGAAAGTTCTGAGAGTCCTGACCAGTTAATTGTGCGACTTAAGAATTATTTTGCTAAATGGGTTGAGTTGTCAGGCACTGCAGCAACATATGATGGTGTTACCGACTTGATGGTGAAGGAGCAGTTTATTGGTGCCTGTACAAGAGATCTTGCAGTTTATCTTAAAGAAAGAGCACCCAAAGATTTAGATGAGTTGGCAGTAATAGCAAAGCAGTACCTAGTGGCACATGATCGACAGTTATCCACTAAGAACAAGGTGAGGCGTAACGATAATGACACTGCCATTGATAATACTGATGTGGGACAGGGCAGTAGTATCCGGTGTTTTGTATGTCAGAGTGTTGGTCATCGAGCAGCACAATGTCCATCCCGCGTTACTGATGTCGACCATGGATAAAGCCAGGTTTGCAAATGACCGAGTGATGAGATGGGCGATGACTCTGCAAGGATATAATCATCGTGTTGAGGATATTCCTGGACTGAGGAACTTTTGAACAGTATAGTAGAATGTTATTCGTTTATGACTGTATTTCATATTTTATTATATTCTACTGTATGTGAGTTTCGAATTTATGTACTCAGTTCGATTTGATATATTGTATTGTTGTTTTATTTGAAATTGTTATCGTATTCGTATTATTGACGTCGTTGCTAGTCATGTAATATTATATGTTATAATATTCTTGAGAGGGGAGGCATGTCGCATACGACTTGTGTACCACTTCCGTGTGACTAAGAATGTTCTAGAACCGTACTGTGTCTGGGTGGAATTTTTAGAAACTGGTTGAATAGGTAATGGAACATTCTAGAAATTTGTAGTAAGTTCCAGACTCATTATGTATGCTGATGTAATGGTCTATTTATAGACAGTGTGGGTATATATAGGGGAGTTGTTCAGCACTGAGATTAGATCGGAGATCTCGTTGAATTGTGTTGGAGTTTAAGTATCTAGTTATTGGAGTAGTGGAGTTTTATCGAGTTATTGTACTTGATGTTTGCAGAGTATAATAATACCAGTACCAGTTGAAACCTCATCTGTTGACTCTGTGTTCGTATGTTATCATCGCCGCCGGGGAAGTCTTTATGTTACTGTTGCCATTTTGGTATTTGAACCATCACACCTGTACTATACCAATTACGGTAATATTACGTCGCGTGTGACATCTGGGGGCTCGTCCGGGAACAGTGAAGACATAGAAGACAACATGGCCGGCGGGATAATAGATATGTCGAAACAAGAGTTGATGGAGTGGGCGGATGAACTGGGAATGACTGGAGAAGACAAAAGGAAATTTATTTTGGAGCAACTGAGTTCTCAGCGAGCTGAGAGACAAGCGGCGAGGGAAGAGAGAAAGGCAAAAATGGAAGCAGAACAGCGAGAAAAGGAAAGGGAAGCAGAGGTGAGGAAAATGGAGATTGAGGAAAGAAAGGAAAAGTTACGGCTGGAAGCGGAAGCAGGCGAAAGAGAATTTGAGTTGAAGAAATTAGAGCTGCAAGCAGCTATGCCTGGGTTCCAACAGGCTGATTTTGGCGGTCACCGAAATGTGGTCAGTGATGCACAGCCACCAAAGTTGCCTGCATTTGTTGATGGTAAGGACGAACTTGATAGTTATTTATTGCGGTTTGGGAGGTTTGCAACGAATGCGAGTTGGCATAGAGATGGATAGGCCATAAAATTGAGTGCGCTGTTGACTGGTAGAGCACTGGAAGTATATTCCAGGATGTCCGACACATGATGCGATTGACTATGATCGTGTGAAGGTGTCGCTGTTGACAAGATATG